AAACACTATTGGAAAATCTGCATAGGGTAATGATAAATAAAATCACACCATGATTATAAAAGTAAAAATATGTAAATTTTTAGTGTATTACATGTATCATAATTACAGAGTTAATTTTAAGGTATGAATAATTAACATTACAATTAATATATACAAATATTTTAATTTTCTGACAATACTAAAATAATCGTGGCAAATATTGTTCTTAACTTTAATTTAGGAGCAATCATTGCCATTTGTATCTAATAATTTATTAATACTGGCATAATTTTAAATGTGAATAACTTGCATTCACATTGCCAGTAACTTTACATTTATATACTTGCAATATTATACAATATTATTATTTATACACTGTTAATAAATCATGACAATATGACGTTTCATTTTAATAAACATTATTGAATGTTACACCTGTATTTAAGTACATGGACAAAATAGAGAAATCACAAAATCATGTTATAATTGTCAGTTATATAACAAACTGAGCAAATTTATTTATAGATTTTGATTTAACAAATACAATTAAATATTTTGTTGATACCTCTGGCATAAAATTTAAAAACCAAATTTATAATTTAATACATTGTTATATTTAATGCTTTGACACCTTGCACTTTTGAAATTGAAAATTTTCATATTATCTATTTTTTTAGTGCTTTCCGTAAAATTTTTTAGAAAATGATCAAATGCATTCTTAAATACATTAAATTTAGTTCTGTAATGTACAAAAGTACACGTTTATATATGTGTATATATATATACACGCACGCACGCACGCACACACGCACACACACACACATATATATAATAGTGCACATCAGAATCCGACTTATATGATTCTACTTGACTGGCAAATTGTACAGTTAGCTTTTATGTTTACATATAAATATTATTCTAGTAGTATACATTTAAATTTATTTCCAATGGTGCTTTGGCAAATATGTTTTCATAGCACCATAAAAGTGCAATTTCATTGTGAAGCATATAATTTTAGCTAATCTTTGTACTACTTCAACCCATTTATACTTCAACCTTGAAATGCAAAATATAATTCTTGCATAAAAATTCAACAACAGTTCTGAATGAATAAAATTTTGCTAAATATAATAAATAAAAGTGTTTTTCTTTGAATCCTCTAATATTATTCTAGATATTCAATACTACAAAAGAAAGTAGCTGTAATTCAGTCGTTTATCAAAATGAAATTAACAAAGCTATACTATTTTATATTATTTTCTGGCTGTCAAAATAAGCCAGATGACAAATTTTTTCTTACAATTTGTACAATGAATCTAGTAAATCAAAATTTTGAATTTCATCATACAACCAAATAATTAGTTTTCTATATTTCCTTCATAGAAGGACTCACATTTTTCTAACAAACGTAGAACTGGATTTATGTTATAAGGAAACAAATCTTTAGATACTAATCTATCAATTGCTAAGCGAAGTCTTATCAATATTGTCATGGTATCATCTAGCTCTCTTCCACAACAAGAGACAAATTCTGTCCAATTTCTTTTAACATATTTCAAAAATCTCAATAAGTATAATAAGAAACAGGTCTCATTACTAACAAGTAAATCTAGTAGAACATCTGGATCGTGAGATACAGCATGTATAAATTGTATGAAAGTTAATGTTGGACTAAGCATGTGACCAAGATCATTTTGTGGAGGTCCTCTATAAAATAAACCAACTGCAACATCTAAACAACACACCATGCCTTCGATTAAAAAATCATCTTGATCATGAAACATTTGTACAACCCACTGTGATAAAGGCATTTCAGGATGAAATGGCATCAATGTTTTGACACATTGATCTAATTGTCGTAAAACTTCTCTGATGCTCCTCTCAATAACTGCCATATCAGCATCAAGATCTTCTGCTTCAGAACCCAAAGAAGAGTCACTAGAATCGCTACGTGTTTCTTTAACCGTCACAGCAACACTTTTTAAAACTAAAAGCACTATCTTTTGTAGAAGGGGGCGATCACCCTCTCCAGAACCTCCTCCAAATCTTCCAGAACCATGTCGATATGGTAAAGCATCCAATAATCTCCAATCCTTCACAGCTCTTACAATCAAATGTGCAAGAGAACAAGGCTCATCTGGCAATACATCTTGCAATGCCAAAGTGCTTCCATAACATAATACTTCATTAAATAATCCAAGAAGATGTCTCCAAATTACACCAGGAACATTAGCATTTAAAAGTACAACCAGATTGTCTAACTGAGAGTAAAACAGCTTGGTATCAATAACAGATAAGTTAGCTTTAACAGAAATAATTGATTCCCATAAATCAAGAAATGTGATAACAGCTGATTCATGTTGAGGTGTATATGAACTAAGAATAGCATCAAATTTTGATACTAATATAGTCCATTTAGATTCTAATGCTTTGACACACATTGCTTTTACAGATGTACTATCAAAACTTTCTGCGTCTGAAATTGATATTGTATTACAATGTGATGGTGGTACTATACTGTCTGTATCTTCCAAAGGGTGAATACTGCAATCCTTGTGTTCTACAACTCTTTTTACAACATCCAAGGTAAATAACATTTGACTTGGAGAATGAGTATTCACTAAAGACTGTGTTAATCTTTCTAACCATGCTGTCTCAATATTTTCTCTTGTTATGATGAAAAATGATGCAAGAACTCTGCTAGCAGCAAATGATATAAATTTATTTGTTGTACATGATAGGTCAATTATTTGATCTATAATGCCATGCTCGTTTCGCGCCAGCGCATCACAAACATCAATCACTCTTCTACACATAACACCTCTGATGTTTTGTTTAATGGCTAAATCAAACAGAAGCTGCAAAGCACTTATAAATTCTAAAGTTTGATCAGGTTCCCACTCTGATAATAATGAAGATCTAAAAGTACCATCTGCAGCTTCCACTGTTGCACTAGTGAATGGCTTACGCAAACTGCTTTCTGGTACATTACATAAGCATTGTGCCAACAGACTGTTTTGCAACTGTTCAATATCTGATACTGTATCTCTTTCTATGTCATTATTCTCAATGCGTTGCTTTTTCTTTGCTGGCTCCTCCATTGTGTTGTTAGGAGGACAATGATAACAGTGCCAAAGCACCATTAGCAGCACTATTCTTGCTGCTTTCTTCTTTTAGTTTATAATATTCTTTCATCAGGTTATCTTCATAATACATATAATGTTCCAAAGAACAAAATACCATGTAAACAATAGATGAAATGCAGCGAACATCAGTTTATTGTATGTACAAAAGCCATAAATACTTTAGCAGATACAATATACCTGTATTAACAAAATAAGAGAAAATAGATTAAACTTCCTGAAAATTGAATAATTAATTTCTTTTATTAGTCTAATTATTGCAAAACAGAATTTTTATTATTGAATGATAGTCAATTTAAATATTGTTAATTACAAAATTTTATATGAATTAACATAATAGTACTAATAGAAAAGTAAAGAGTAATATTAAAACTTACAGAAACAATTGATTTCTTTTTCACCAATTTTATGAAATGTTTGTAAATTCCAACACTTTGTAGGTGTATGTAAATAAGTGTGTGTATATATGTTTACACATTCATTCATACAAGGATGTATGTATATATTTTTCTTATCCACTGTGATTAATTAATTAATTAATGTGCGGTATTCTTTTAATAAGTCTGAAATTATATTTGTTCCCAAATACATTCATAAGATGCTAACCGTGAAGTGTTTAACACAGGTTGCACATGTAATATATAAACCGACGCTTGCTGATACGATAATATGCACATAGAAATATTCTCTACCAATCCCTTGACAGACAGTTAAATATATCGGCAGAATATTTGACAGTATTCTTTTAGAGTTACACCGTATTTCACTATTTTAACAGTGTAAATATATTATTGTTTGTGCTCGAAGAATTTCTTTTGACTAGGAAGTGACAGAGCACTCGACAACTTTGCTCTGTTGCCACGTATACATGCTACCGAGTAAAAATAAGAAATACGGATTTATATTGTTTAGCCGCAAATGTACTCCAGTTAAACAGTTCATATCTTACGTCGAGCGGTAAAATGTTAACTCGATAATGCATAAGACACGAATTCTTCGTGTTTATTACGTATTTTTCGGGTGGCATCATGCAGAGCTGCGTAACACAGTAGCTCCTCCTCGCACATTCCACAATGTACTGAGTGTGAATTATTATAATTACTTGAATAATAGCTTTCAAATAGCGATTAAAGCTTATCAAATATTCTTTGAATGTCTTTTCTGCGATTTTTCGTAATAAAAGTAATCAAAATCAAAAAGTCGTATAATAAATACAGAAGATGATCGGCAACTCTGCATCGATTGCAGCGCTCAAAAATTTATGCATATTCTTATTTGTCGTGCAATTCCTATTTTAATGATTTATGTTATATAAATGTATAAATAATATTTTTTATTTTATAGTT